TCTCTCTCTCTCTCTCTCTCTCTCTCTCTCTCTCTCTCTCTCTCTATCTTATCGTCTCACTCGAACTCTCTCTCGCACTTCGCCAAACGTTTACCTATACGTATATACTCTCCGTCTTTGTCTTACCCTCCTGAAAGCTACGATCCACGGAATACGTTAAAGCATTCAAAATAATAGGAGGCCCGATTCGAACCTAACCGAAGCGAACCGAACCGCGGAATTCCGCGGGCTCTTTCTCGGCGCTCGCGCTATTTCTGTGCGTAGCTCTTTCTCCCTCTCTCTCCTGCCCCGCGTACTGTCGTTACGCCCTTACCCATTCTTTTGGCCATACCCAGTCCTCGTTCCTCTATCCGTGTCAACCCTAAATTTCATCCTCGAGCTTCTCTTGGTTTCCATACCGAAGATACCAGCAATAGGGTATATACACGTGAGAAAAACTTTGGGCTGTCAAACGCTGCTCTAGACGTCGTCGACAGAGCGTCCAATACACCGACCGTCGACGTGGTCGTGAACAGAACGGACCCTCGCTATTATAAACATATACAAATTCGTCAGAGGGAACTGCGAACAATGGGCCGTTTAGCACTTGAGATATATATCATCGTGAGGATGCCGGCGTCGGGCGCGTTGCCGTCGCTTTACTCCGTTCTTAACCCTCTTTGCTCAGTGTGGCGACTCGCCGAAAGTACCGGATCTCGATCAGGTGAGAATTTATCAAATTTCACGATTATAACCTCAAATCCATTGATTTCTCTTGAAAAATAGTATCGCTATATTTCCATCGAAATGTACTTAAGTCAAAGTTAGGTATCTGGGTGGGGGAGGAATAAGAAATATATATAGATATACATAATATATAGAAGGCATAAAAGGCAATGGGTATGAGATACCCAGCAATATGTCATCCCTCGTATCGGTAGTGGTTGGTGCCGAATGTCGGCGAACGTCGCCGAATGTCGGGAAGAATAACCCTCAGCGGCCAGGAGGATCGAGTAAACCGGACTGTCGGTGGATTGGCCGGCATCGGGGATACAAATGGGCAAAACACCGCTCTGTACGGATGCCGCGGGGCCGGTTGCAGGTGGCGAGACCGCCGATAAATATGTCAGCGGGCAACACCGTGTGCTCTGGCCGTGCCTTGCCGTGCCACGCCGTGCCACACTGCACACGCAAAAGCACGCTCACAATGCTCGATCTCTATACGTTTTATACACATTTATTTTTCCACACAGATCCGCGGATTCAGCCATCGAGCAGCCCGCAGAGAAGCGACTGCGAAGCAACCACCATCACTATCGCCATCAACACCACCACCGCCGTCGCCGCCACCGACGCCGCCAACACTACTGGCGAGTCCTCTTTTACTGTTGCGGGAATCGCGCATTTTATACATTTGAATATTATGGAAATGTCTACGCGTCTTTTTCCCTTCGCCTCTTTTATGGTACAGTGCTCAGCCTCTCGGAGATTCTCTTAGGCTCGGTCGCTGTGGAGAATCACCAATTGTTAACTTGGTAAGCGAAGCTCGAGAGTATAGGTATAGGATTGGAAGGAGGATAACAAATTGTATGGTGGTTAAGGGTAGGTTGGTCTGTCTCAACCTCAAGAGCCAATATCGTTTCCAATTATTACTTTGATCGATTAATCGATATCAACGATATAACACTAGAGATTGCGTGCGCTGAACTTTTTAGATTTATGAATTTTTTATGTGATAACTTCCCGCTGCCGCGTTGTGATCCAAGCATTAATTTCGATCTGTCAAATTCAATGTATCGTGTGATCGCGCGCCACGTGGCAAATCACACGCGTTGAATGACGTTAGCGACGAGCAATCGGCATAGGGAAAAGCTTTGACGAAATTTCGATATATTTTCGACATGCGACACGTTAACTCCAGATTTTACACTAAAGAGAAAAATATTTAATTTTATTTTCTTTACTTTTTTTTTGCCAATTTTTAAGGAATTCCGTGAATGCTCATAGAACCGGTAATTTCGGGGAGTCTGAAATATGAAAAAGAAATTTTCGAGGCTGAAGATCCACACGACGAGGCGGGATATACACTGAAGGCGGAATGCGCGTTTCGTATCTACCGAAGCATCTGTCATATCCCCTAATGAGGACGCACAGTGAGGATGCGTCGTGCGCCGGCAAACTCCCCTGTGAACGCGTTATTAAAGGCACGCCGAGCGGTCTCTGCCCATTTTCGGAAGAATCGCGGCCAAGCGCGCCCGATACTCCGCGCAACAGGTGCCGACATGGCCACGTTTTACCAAGGAAGGAGCTACCTCCTTCTCAGAAGACTTTTCGCGCGGTTGATAAGGGGAGACAGCGACTAAGTTTCAGGGGGTTTGCACTGTGCACGCGATCGACGTCGTTTACAAGGAGACTCCCAAAGCAGAGAGAGAGAGAGAGAGAGAGAGAGAGAGAGAGAGAGAGAGAGAGAGAGAGAGAGAGAGACAGAGAGACAGAGAGACAGAGAGCAGAGAGAGAGAGAGAGAGAGAGAGAGAGAGAGAGAGAGAGAGAGAGAGAGAGAGAGGAAGAGAAGAGACTGAGCTTTCCATATATGCTCTCCAGGTTTAGTCAGTGCTCCTAAATGCATAGAAGGTTGAACAGTCAATTGTCATGGGACGCTTTGACCGGTTCCGTCGTATCCTCCTGGTCCAGGGTGGGTTCAGAGTCGGTTGGGTGAACTTTGGTTCCGTAATTCCGGGTGTTTTACGTATACGTTATGCAGAAACGTACCGGACTGTGGGTTGTGTTCCGTGTGGTTTATACAGTAGTCCCTGTACCAGATAGGCTGCTGCACCGGGGATCTCTGACCACGGGAGACTCTGGTGGACCACGCTGGACCACGCACGCTTCGACGCCGAGATGATTGTAGTTGCAAATGGGCAGTTTGCATCAAGAAGCGACTCCGCTCTCGGCGACAGGACATGCACGGCAAATGCAAACAAAGTTGACCCGAGCGCCTCCCACGCCCATCGACCCATCCTCGTTTCAATTCCCATTCTATTCTCTCAGTTCCTCCCGATGCTACTGGTACTATACTCACGATTCACCAACCCCTCCCTGGACGATTCCCATTTACGAAGAATCCTGCCTAGCAGGGCATCTGCAGCCGACACGATAAATGATTTATCCAAAACAATTTAATTGAAGAATAATCATTAAAACGGGACGTAAGGTCTTTATCTAATGTAAACTAAGTTAATCCATCTAATATAAGTTAATCCAATAAATGCCCAACCCCTTGAAAGAATCAACTTCAATAAATTCACTCCGATCGACTTATCCCTACAAAAGTCCATGATCCTAAACCGTAGAAGGACTGTATTCCAGAAGTGAAGATGCGTTTGCAACGTCAGTGTTTACCTGTACCTCGATATAAAAGAGGGAAGTGCACAA